CCCATTAGCCTTCTGTTGTGAAAGCTTATACCCTTTCTGAATTATAAATATGTTATGATGTCTTATAGTAAACTGCCTAAGTCGTGTCAAAAGTGTTTGCCAGTGTTTGCTGTTTCCCAGACAATGTTATTAGAAGTGAAGTTGTGGAATCCAGACACAGAGACTCCCTAGACATCAGGTTGTGAATGGACTGACCCAACATTATGTGTTGGGTGAGAATAAGGGATATCTTATGATGCATGTAGCTTCATGTACAATAATAATTGAATATTATCTTGGGATCTCTTTCTAGCCTTGCAAGCTGGGAGATCCGCATTTCCAAATGTGTGACTGAATATTGCAATAAAACTCTAAAAGACAGTTTGCTTGTTGTGAATTCATCTTTAGAGTGCCAACACGCCTTCAGTACAGTGAAACCTCCCTCTGCTCAATGAGGTGATTGCACAATAAATTCTAAACTTCTTAATACAGTGCATAACTGTTTGTTTGTTTATTTTTTTACCTCTGCGTGACCTTTGTCCAGATGCATAGGCTTAAATTGTAGAAAATGACAGGCTGAGAAAATATTCATAAAGATTCGGGGCACTGTAGTATCATTAGTTGAAGGAGAGTATTTATACGCACTTCACACAGGTGCAAGGCTATCAGACAACAGTATAAACAAAGAAGACACAACGCCTGCACGCGTACTCCATGCCACTACAGGTTCATAAAGACAGTGTTTTGATCCTACTTGGATCTTTTTCAGGTCACAATGTTTGGAAATTAGAAACCACACCTATATTTATACATGATGCACACCAATAGATAAGCTCTGTGATGCCAGGTGGGGTTAAGCATCCAAACGGCCAATGGTTATTAAACAATTGACAATAAACAATTCGATAAAGTACACAGAGAAACTAGCATTACCACCTAGCAGTTGTTTGCCTCTGTGAACCAGTCAAGTTGCAACTTACAGTTAACATCTATGTCTTCCCCCCTGGCAGCACAGAGGATCTTAACAATCAGCACAGTTTCAAGATGGACACCCAAGATTAGTGTCACCAACTCAGTATCTGACCAAATGTTTCCCCTTCTGCTCCTGAGATATGAAGTTGAATAATAAGCAGATCATGATGTAAAAGTGACACCGCTGACCTTTGACCTTTTGGATATAATATATTATCACTTCATCATTTTAACCTATCAGACATTTGTGTGACATTTGGTCATAATTACATATGAATTCTTGAGTTATGGCCAAAAACATGTTTTGTGAAGTCACAGTGACCTTTGACCTTTTCCCACCAAAATCAACTCAGTTTGTCATTGAGTCCAATAGGACATTTGTGCCAAATTTGAGGAAATTCCCCAGGGCCTAGACACATCATGTTTAGGTGAATGAGATGGATGTAAAGTCAGAGTGACCTTTGACCGTTGGCCACTAAAATCTAATTAGTTCATTCATGATGACCATTAGACATTCATTAGACAAGAATGGGACAAATGGATGGACAGACAGATGGACAACCCAAAAACATAATGCCTTCGGATACAGCTGTTGCTGGCATGGAGGCACAAGAACAGTACTACAGAAGCTGCAGTATCACTGCAACTTTCCTCTGCCTGAATAAAAGACTTCCTAAAGCCTTTGTCCCTTTCAATCACTCCTGGAACCGATTCAGCTCCTCTGTGATTTTATTTCACAGCCTCATCCAGCCTGTGCTCTCGTGCTGCCTACTTGCACCTGCTGTCCGTCTGCGCCGGCCGACACAGACAGGAGCTGACAGTCTGCAGCTTAAGTGGGCCATCGTGAAAAATAGTCTCCGCTTTGATCTGTCTTAATTACAGCAGCTTCCAGACACTGTGTGACACTCCTGGGACTACTACAGTGTAGACCCTGTTGCTGAGGTAAAGGTTTGACCCCATTGTTACATCATTCTGTGCATATACACACAGTATGTGAGCAGAAAAGACTGATTCTTTTGTTGCTATAAGAAATAAATATTTGGTATTTATCCAGTGACTCCTCTGATAAAAAGAGTTTTTGTGTCACTGAGTGAGGAATTATTCCTTGGAAGAGCCTCCTCTGTGAGAGTATTCTTCATATTTCTTGTGTGTATGATGTAGAAGCTCAGCAGGCTCTATGAATCACATAAAAAAATGTAGCCATTAGGTATAAAAAAATATTGGGGTTTTCCAGCAAAGATAAGACCTTTCAAGTCTGTTGAGATGACTGAGAAAAAAACCCACACTGTCTTCCATTTGTGCACCCTCTCCCTCTCTCTCAAACACACACATACTTTGTGCTGCACTGATTTTCTTCAGAAGTGGGATATATATGGTATGAGGAGGATGGCAGGAACACAATGTTTATACTACTACACTTAGATAATAAACCATCATTGGATCCACATATAAACCGCAGTATTGTCAAAGAATCATAGTGATGGCGACCGCTGATACAGACCACCCAAAGGCTGCCTGGAAGACACTGAGCACCTTGTTTAAAAGGAAACGCTTCAATTTAATCTTTAGCTATGATTCGATTTTATTTTTAAAGGTCGCTTTCTTTAGATTTTTCAAAATAATTCTGATTAAAATGGATAAAAATAAACTAACATGTATCCAATAAATGGCAAATACAACATAAATATGATCCCAAACAGGATTATTACCTGTCCTTGTGCATTTGTCTATTTGGGAAGCACACATGGTATCATGCTTCAAGTGCATGATATGAACTAATCTAAAGTTCCTTAACTTTGGACACAACACCAACATAAAACTCATTCCAAAGTTATAAAATTTCCATTAAATCATTATGAATCCAGTAGTAAAATGTGGCAATGCAGTGAGACAGTACCCATGTCAGACACTACTTGCTATTAATCTATAAAATATTGAGTTTATTTTTTTAAGAAGCATGAAAATAACTGACAGCAAGTGTGATGATGATGTAAGTTACCAAAGCTGTGACACATGTCAGTTTAACTCTTGTTATACAGTATTTAGCTTCACCAGAAATCAACTCATAAGCTAGACGTAATACTGTTCACAAGAAAGGGGAAGCATTCCTCCCCATATTCTAGACATGTTATTTCATTAAAGTACAAAGTTGAAAAAAAATATATATATTGTTGTGGTTACATGATTAAAAATTAGACAGGAGTCAATCTTACACACAGACAAATAATGTTCGAGTGGAAGTTCAGTCAGGAGGACGATACTTTTCATGCTCAGGCTGTAAGTTTTCTTTCTCACCTTGCCATTCACTACTTGCACACATGCTCACTCACTATCTCGAGGTGTCATTGCCCTGAGCTGTCAACTGAGTCATCAGCTGTTTTTCAGTTGATTAACAATCAACCAACAGCACAGCGACACACCTTTTCTGTCAGGATATCATCTTACTGCTAATCATTTCAAATATGGTTCTCTCTCTGCCGTAGTTATTTCTTGGTGCTGTCCTCCACCTCCCCATCACCACCTAGTCTTTACAGATTCATCAGCCTCATCATCCTCAGCATCAGCAGCCTCAGAGTCAGCAGCCACCACCACCACCAGTGTCTGGACTCTATCGGGGGATTTATCCTGCTGCTGCTCAGATGTCCCTTGATCACAACATATCTCCCTCACACTTAGATTCTGTATTAAATAGTATCTTAACTTCACTCTCCTGTCTCTCTTGATTGAACTGATTAATACACATACACGCACACAACCAGAGAATTTTTTAAAGAGACAGTTTTTTTTGGTTCTTTGAGCACCACAAACCAAGTACCATCTGTTTTCATTATGTTTGGGAGAGGGGAGACAACTCTATCTCAGCAACTCACAACAAAACAATTTAGATTGATAAATAGCTCTACAAGTAAGAGGAGAAAACACATTTTTAATTTGGAGGTGAACTGTTCCTTACATGACAAATAAAGAGTAGTAAAAAGGAGTAGACAATTGTCTGAGCCCTTTTGGAGCTAACTTCTTGCCCTTTGCACTGTGAAAAGTGAGTACAGCTTTAACAAAATTGCACATTCTTACGTCATGAAGCCAAAAGATTACAGGCACCTTCTCACATTTTCTCTGTGAAATTCTTTCCAGCTCGGAAGTGAATTGTAGTATTTACTTATCAGCAAGAGGCTGCAAAAAAAGAAAAAGCACATTTGGCTCAGAGTGGCCCTGGTTTGGACTCTGACAGGTTCATCCAAAGTGTTTCAAATGATCTTGTAGGCTTGATGAAAGTCAGAGAGGAGTTGCAGCCGAATGACTGATGACAGACATAAATCATTCTCAGACCTTCACTGTAGCCAAGGTGAGAGAAAGATGCAGCACTGATCATTTTTTATCCATGATCAAGTCATCACAGTGTTAACCTGTATTTTTGCCCCCCCCCCCCCCCAGATTGGAGAATAAGTTTGTCTAAATACTGCAGTCCTGTTTGTTGCCAAATACAAGGCAGATGGAGGTGCTACGTGTGCCGTGCCAGCGTACATGCTCATGTGTATGCAGTCACACCCTTTATTGCAACTTATTTATGAGTGTCATTTGCATCTATATAGGTCATTTGTGTGCGTGCGTCCTCCAGCTGAGTCCTGCTGGTCTCCACTGATACCAAGCTCATGTTGTCCGCTATCGTTTTATTGTCTCCCTCTAACATAAAGCATATGACCATTTGTCTTCATCCACTTTCCTCTCTGTGTATCCTCTCCAGAGTGTGAGAGCTTCAGGCTTATACCTCTCACCCACTCTTCACTTCAGCCTGGATCACACTGAGGAAAAGTATCGGGGTGTATAGTAATGATGGGAAAATCCTCTTTTGATGCAGCCTTGTGATCTGAATATGTATTTTCCATCACATAAAGGAGTCTAAATGATGAAGGCATGTGGAAAATGTGTGATTTGCACTGCTGTAAGTTTGTGCATCTTTGACAATAGCTCTAAGGTCCATCTGTCATATGGTTTCATGTTTGATATTCTCCTCCTCAGTGTGTCCACTCCCATAGAGGGCGAGCTTTCAGTCACACATGTGACTTTGCAGAACGACGATAAGGTGCTTTAAATAATCATCTGAACTCTCTGGGTGATATTTCTAAACTGGGATTATTTCACAAGAAACTATTATCAGAGAAGAAAGACTGAGCCAACTGAACCCAGATGGAGTGGCTGATGGCGCATTTATCAGAAATGACTCGGTTTCAGCAGGGAATGACACTCCTGGGGGCTAATTCTGTTTATTTTTCCGACCTTTGACACATGCCTTACACTGAGGAAAGCAACACTGTTAATCCGCGCTTTGGGAACCTGTGACTCATTCCGTGTCCCGGGTCCGTGCTGTCCCTCCGCCAAGCGGGACTGCAGGGGCCACTTCATTCACTGAATCACGGCGTCGGGCCGTATGGAGACCAAGTTCTGCGTCTTGCGCGCAGCTCGATATCCTGGACCGGATCCTAAAATAATACAGAGCAACAGACACTACCTCTACCTCAGTGGGGACATAAAACATGCGAAAGCGAAGTCAGGGTATCTCAGTCGGTGCCCACAAACTCAAACAGGGAACTCCCTCGACGTGTTGAGGCTGTTTTCTCCGCTGAGCGCACACTCCTTCAGCATCCGTGAACATGCCTTCGGGTCTGCCTTCCTCTAAAGCCGTCTACATCGGGATGGAGGTGGTGATCGCCGTGTCGTCGGTCATCGGTAACGTGATGGTGGTCTGGGCTGTGCGTATTAACCGGTCTTTGAGGGACACCACGTTTTGTTTCGTCGTCTCCCTGGCCTTGGCTGACATTGCGGTCGGCGCTCTTGTCATCCCCCTCGCCATCACCATCAGCATCGGACTCCAGACGCACTTCTACAGTTGCTTGTTGGTCGCCTGCACGGTGCTCGTCCTCACTCAAAGTTCAATCCTGGCGCTCCTGGCCATCGCCATCGACCGCTATCTGAGAGTCAAAATACCCATGAGGTAGGCCTAAAGGTGAATTCTTCTAGTTTCCAATATCTTGTCTCATTTACAGAAGCCTTTGTGTCTGGTGCGCTGCTCGAACCAAGGGCACAAACCAGAGCGGTCATACAGGGTGTTAATCTAAGCTCCAAATAGACATGACTGTAACATGTAGGCTACTCTAAAGGTGTGTCTAATCATTTTAATTAATTTACAGTAACCTTAATGTATGGCTATATTAATCTGCTTTGACATCTCTGTAATATATCCACCGGAAATTACAGTCTGTCAGTGATAAAAGTCACGGACCTATAAGGCTATGTCATTTTATTACCTGCTTTTAGCTGTTCAGATAATATTTTTGGACTTATTAATTCAGTATTAATTAATTTATTCCTCAAGTGTACACTTCCAATACATAATATCAGCCCACCCAAAATATGATCTGTAAACCAAAGCAATAACAACGTAATACACATGTAATGATTTTTAAAATGTAGTAGAGGGGGGGGGAATGTATATTAAATGCCCTCTACAGCCTGAAAAAAAAACAAGCCCTCTACAGCCTCTCTGATTTTTGAAAAATATTTATTTATTATATTTTTTTCTAATACTGATTTGCTGATAGATAGATAGATAGATAGATAGATAGATAGATATGTTGGTAGGTAGACTGATCAGTAGACTGGTTGATTCAGTACAGATACATGGATGAATAGAGATAATCTTGTTATTTACATTTTTAGCTTTTACCGGATGCTCAGGGTCCAAAGACAGGTTCACGCCAATTTGGCTTTTTTTAAATCTGGAATTTCACATCTGTGTGGAGGCCAGCTGTTTCAGATCCTGAAGCACATGGGGGTCATAAATGTCGTACCTCTTTACCGCTTCTGAGTTGGTTTGTTGATAATTAACTTGACTGTAAACTGACATTTCTGGGGATTGCATAGTAACAAAGAACTGTAAAATGTAAATGTTATCATTAGTTAGCAATCCTCTTGCCTCACCCATAATTTCACTGAAAACTCAAGTTTCCACATGAAGTTGACTAATTAAACAATGAGGCTGGCAGAGAATGCATGACTGGTCAATAGGCTCATGGTGGCTGGTTGATGGATTGCGCAATTTCTCAAGCTGGCAACCAACACACACATAGAAACATGCACACACAAACTGCACTCTGTCACTCAGAGGGCAGTAACACAGGAACAATAAAACAAAATATATTGTGTAGTATGATACAGTAGCAGATGTAGTGACAGAGTAAGGTAATAGATGATAAATATCTCACCGTTTTCAATTGTAACACTAGATACATTTGACAACTTTGTGTGTCATGTAAAAATATTGTGTTAGAGTGACTATAAATCAGATTCTGTGTCAGGTAATACAATATTTCTCCAAAGGGCTGGCAGAAAAAGTGCTCTGATGCTCTCCCAAGTCACAAATCTAAGAAATTTTACTTCTCTTTTACTGCTCATCCTTTATTTAGCCAGACACTTCAACCTGGGCATGTTCACATTTTAAACACCAGTGAATTGTATTTTACTGTCTCGTGCTAAGTGATAATGTGAGCCAGAAATGGAGTCCCCCTCCCTACACCACCCCTGGGACTCGGGAGGGACACAGTTTACCAGGCACTGATTGCTTTTTATAGCGGAGGTGGTTTGGAAGCACAGTGTCACGATAAGAGTGGCGTGTCTGAGATTTGAAAAGGTCCAAACTATTGCTGGCGCGTCCAGCTGGAGGATGGGATTTAGCAGGTAGGAGATGAGGATGGAAATCCCAGAGGAAAGTAGACATAGTTAGAGGACCGTCGAGTCCAGAAAGCAATTTTGGGCAGATGAACAGCTGATATGCATGCAGACAGACAGCCGAGCTTTACGAGCAGCTGGACAGGGAGTTACAAGCACACGAGTTAAGATTAAAACTGTCGTCACACATGGGAATACCTCCAGACGCTCTTTAAATATCCTTTCAGTATACATTCATACATCCTGTGTTGTGTCTGCCTCACCCTGTCTGAACTCCTGAGTGTGTGTGTGCTTTATGTGATAGAGAATGAATCAAGGGAAAAAATATGACAGTCTGGCTCTGGCACATTTCTCAGTGTGTTTCTGTGTTAATGCTAGCGAGGTGAGCCAGGGATCACACATGATAAGAAGAGAGAAAAAATGTGCAAGAGAGAGAAAGGAGAAACATGAGCCCCTGAGATTATTTACCCAGCTCTTTCATCTGATTGAATCAGCACTTGAATTACAAAAATCAACAGCCCAGTCGACCACTGGAATCTCTCATGTGCGCTCGACAATGACTAATTCTCAGACCTGTCCAATAGCAGACCATTGTGTGGGAGAGATGACGAGTGACATCCTATTGAGATACCAAAGAACTGCAGACAGTTATGTTAGGCAACAGCTACCAGTTTTCCGAGCAGCAGAGAGGTCTTGCTTGTGTCTGATTGATGCTCGATTTGTTTCTGAGCACACAGCAATGATTTCCAGAGAAAGATCATCAGACTGAAACTACATCACCTGCTGCCATCAGACATAAAAAAAGAGTTGGACATTACAAGGAATAACTACTGGAAAAAGCTTACACTATAAATCAGCCCTGATCCATCAACCCCACAAACTGCAGCCTTAGAATAAGACTATGTGACCTTAGAAAGAAGGAATAACACATTCTTCCTTTTACAAATAAAGCATTTAATTTATGAGTAATAAAACGCACCAGTGCTCAATTTAACATACTCAAGAGTTTTTCTACTACAGGCTTACATGATGGGTATACGGTTACAAAATGTTAGCTGATGTTAGTAAGCTTCATCCCAGGGATACTCAACCCGGGGGCCACTTTTGCAAAATGTCAGGAGGCCAAGGGCCAGTTAATAAACAAACAGCAGTCACGTCAGCCCTGCACAGGTTAGGTGTATGCAGGGGAATATCTAGAATCTGAGGATATCTTTGGCTTAGCTCAGAATTCTGTTTGGGATCCTCCCCCCCATTTTTTTTAATTTTGATGTTTTTTATGCACTCTGGAGCCTTATTTAAATCCAAGGAATCAAAAAAAATTCTAGTGTGAGGCAAGTATTTTTTATTATGAATTACAAAATGGTTGGCAGGCCACCTGACACCCTATTATGAGCCAGATGTTGCTCTGTAACTCACATTACCAGGCCAGTTTCTTGACTTTATGACTCTTCTTCACTTTTGCTACTTTTGCACTATGTTTTAGCATTTACCTTTATCCTGTAATTGTCACTTCGGGCAACAGTTGATAGGCTTCTGTTTAACAGCAAGAGTTGAAACAACAAACCAAGATACTTGCAGAATTGCTAACAGTATTAGCTTCATAAAGGGAATGTTTTTTTGCAGATCTTTGCATTAATTTATGTTGTAGTGGACTGAATTAAAAACAAGATCTAATCTCTTCTTGCCATAGCTACAAACGGGTGGTGACTCCTCGGCGAGCTGGCACAGCCGTGTTATTGTGTTGGCTGGTGTCCATCGTAGTGGGCCTCACGCCCATGTTGGGTTGGAATAACCTGCAGCTTCTCCGTGACAACGGCTCCCTGGTCACTGATGACCTCTTGGTGACCTGTGAGTTTGAGACAGTCATCAGCATGGACTACATGGTCTACTTCAACTTCTTTGGCTGGGTGCTGCCACCTCTGCTCCTCATGCTAGCCATCTATGTTGAGATATTCTACATGATCCACAAGCAGCTCAACAAGAAGGTGAGCCCTTCCTTTTCTTGTGGTCACTTTGTTTGATATGCAACAATAAAAAGACAATTAATTTGCAATTAAACGTGAACTGATTTGACTAAAATTTAATCTATGTGCTGATGATCTTCTCCTTTATCTCTCTGTAGGTGACAGCTAGCCACACAGACCCCAGCCGCTACTATGGCAAGGAGCTCAAGCTAGCCAAGTCACTCGCCCTTGTTCTTTTCCTCTTTGCAGTCAGCTGGCTCCCTCTTCACATCCTCAACTGCATCACCCTCTTTTGCCCCACCTGTAATAAGCCAGAGTTCCTCATTTACATCGCCATCATCCTCACCCACGGCAACTCGGCTGTCAACCCCATCGTGTATGCTTTCCGCATCAAGAAATTCCGCACAGCGTTCCGTAAAATCTGGAAACAGTATGTGCTTTGTCGGGAATCAGTTGGTCGGCTTCCTCAAAGAGGGAGCCAGACAGGACAAAGTCATGAGAGGAGGCTGAGGCAGAATGATGATGACGATGATGATGTGTGACCTTTGCTAACTAATTGGATTGCTGTGTAACTGTTGAGTTTCACTCCACTGGTTCACAGAATGGAGGACTCTGGCTTTATGTTCGAGGAATTACCGGTCAAAACAGCCTTTGGCATCACAGGATGTCAGACGTGGGAACTCCATTGTGAACTGACTGATTCACTCCATCGGACACACTCTAAGAGAGCAGGATGACAAATCAGCATGGAGACAGGATAAACGTCCTCAATCAGACTTTGATTTTAATCAGATTGATGGTTTATTTCTCCACTGGCTGACAAAATGAAGATGATGCCGTATGAGATAATGGGCTTCTCATCAGTTTCAGCACCAACCTGTTGAACTTGAATCAGTAAGTGTATATCTGTAGCACATGCTGTACATGAGTAGTGTATGCTATATTGTATTTCTGACCTGAATTAAAACTCATGGCCTTTTTTATGTGAACGATCTCAGATAGTTAAGCATCATATTATGTGTTACATTTACATGTCTGTGGCCTTAAAGACAGAAAATGAAGAGGAACTAAGCTGCTAAAGTGTAAATCTGGTAAACCAGTGGTGGGCAAGCAGGAAGTTTGCGCAACCAGCTTGGTGCTTTGAGTTGGACCAGGACACAGGATGTACTGTATGCTGACTGCATGGGTAAAAAATAGGTCAAACTGGCTCGCTTGGAATTACAGTTGAGGATCTTTGGTGCGATGAACGTCTAGTTTGCCTGCACCAATGTCAGTTGTGCAGTAACTTATTAGACTCATGGCCCATACAGATGTGTGGTCCAATGCAGCACAAGTGAAGATTGTTTTTGCTGCTTTTGAGAACATTTGACTGGCAGAGCGACTAATACTAGGTAGTAATAGTTGTAGCTGAAAACAGCATCTATACTATAAGAAAAAATTACTTGATGCTCCTCTGTAAGTATTTGTGGGCATGGACAATGGTAAAAACTATGGAGCCACCTATTAGTAACTATATAACTATAGCTGCTGGACTGTGAATCTAAGAAATGTTGGAGCTCCTCCATCCAATTTTTATCTGGGGGATAATCAATTTAAACCTAAAATGTACCTCTACTGTACATGCATCACCAGGCTCTTTCCACTACTAGCAGGTATTTTCTGTTACGTTTTCATTTCTGTTATGGGGTTGACTTGAAGGTTCAGCGTGTAGGATTTAGGGGGATGATATTGGCAGAGATAGAATATAATATAACAAATATGTTTTCTGTAGTGTGTAATCGCTTGAAAATAAGAATCATAATGTTTTTGTTACCTTAGAGTGAGCCATTAATATCTACATTGTGAGTAGGTGTTCGTCCACCGAGTCCACCATGTTGGACCACTATGATTGTGCAGTAGCCCAGAACAGACAAACCAAACACTGGCCCCTGATATGGCCATTTGTGTTCTTAAAATTCTGTGATTACCACTGTAGTTAGCAGCCCCTCCGCACAATGAGCAGCGTCATAAAAACGCCTTCTTTTTTTTAAATTTAAAACTTTATTCAGTGCTTTTATCGGTTTAAATCATTGGGTCCATTTGCTTTGGAAAGGAAGAAACCTTTCTCCAAATTCTCATTGGTCAGACAATCGCTGGTGTTACTTTAATAAGTGTGTGTGTCCACCAAAGGTTTCTTTACCTAGCTGAAAAAGGACACCTGTTATTGTCCTCTGTGATAATTGGGTCTTTGCTGTGTTTGTCCTGCCAGTATGGTTAATGTTAGCTACTCTGCGAAAAATCTCCCTCTTATATGCAGGTTTCAAAGATATTAACGTTAGTAATGTTATGTTGTACATGACATTGTCAACCCCAGAGTTAACTTCTAAAGTGTTCAGTATGTCAGATTTTTCTCATCAGTCCTGTTCTACACTTAGTTTTTTTTCTGGCATTATTACATTGGAGATCACATTTAAATTTCACTCAAGGCATTCCACTTGCCTGAACACAGAGTTAACTTGCCCTTGGCAAGTGTTTATATGGATCCCTGTGACAGGATAAATACACTTTGGTGGACACACAGTGCTAAAAGGTTGTGCACTCAGCGCACTGGGCCAATTTAGTTGATATAAAGATAACCTCTACAGATTATTTAACCCCAATATATTGGTCAATGAGCAGGCAGAATTTCAGTCAACCAAGATTTTCTTTGGTTGATTACAGCCATAGTTATCAGAGAAGAAAAAGTAAGCACACATTAGCAGATGCTGGGCTAGTGGCCTGTCTCCAGCATGCCAAACATTGTCAGAGAAAAACTGATTTGTTACATGAAACTGCTTTATTCAGTGTTTTTACTGACTTTATTCACCTGGTTTGTTTGTTTTGGAGAGGAGGACACCTACGCGGATAATTCAGCTTTTGATTAAAACCTCCTGAACAATGAACATTAAAGTAATCCCAACCAGGAGTTCATGCTTAGCACAATGGAGAAGTTTCAGCTGGTTGCAATCTGCAATCCTCTACACTAGATGGCACTAACTCCTACACACTGCACCTTTAAAACTGACCAGTGTTGCCCATTCAAATTAGTGAGATTCAACATAAGAGGACATACACTGAAATGCCACTGCTGACACTTACAATATGTACTGTATGTAACGAATATATGTATAAATGTTAATGGGAGATACTGTATAAAATTCACCTCACTGAGCCAGCAGGTGTTCTCTTACAGCTGTTGATTGGGAAAATCACCCTTCAACCATCTCATAGTAAGCAAAAAATATATCAGCATATGGTGAGGTCTGATTAAAATTCATAATGCTAAGATGAAATGATTTTATTATCTGTTCACATGAAAAGGTGTTTTGCATTGCATGCTCAAAACAAAACATAAACACCCTCCAGTAATCATCAGAAACACATGATACAATATATGTAGTATCTGAGAACAACACATTTGTCCCTTGTTATGCGCACACACACACACACACACACACACACACACACACACACACCAGACATCCAGACATCTATTATTCCAAGTCTGTATCACTGTATGTGTGGTAGCATGTGGATAAATCCACTCTGTTCTTTATGACAGAAATAGCATCTCACTTTCTCTCCGTGCTTCTCCGTATCGGGGCTAAAGCCATCAGCGATGAGAGGCCATTTTTGCGCGCACACATTGATCTTCTGCCACTTGGCAGAGAGAGCTGCTCATGTGTGAATAAGTGAGGAGGTTATGAGGGTGTAGGAGTCCAGGGGTGAGGTGGGACAGGGTGGAAGGATTATTCTGTTTACAAGGGAACCTGAAGGCGAGACTGCCGCTGAGGAACTCATCAAGACAACTCTGAGGAGGTCAACACTGAGGCCACCCTGTCGCTTTCCCATCAAATAAACAGGCCTGTTAATGTGACCCTGTTGATCTCTGTCTTTACCATCTGTGGCAATGTGTAACAACATATACAGTTCACACACACACACACACACACACACACACATAGTATGTCTTCATCAGACAAGTGTACTCTCATTGTATTTCCAGTGCTGCTCTTGTAATAATGCTTCCATGTGATTCTTTTCTCACTTTGTGCTCCTGTGAAATATTTATAAAGCCACTAAGTGTAGAATTGGATATTTATCAAGATTTAAGACATTATAACATGTTTGTAGAAAAATGAGACAATCTAGAGGAAAATTCAAAGTGTATGTTGTCTATTATTATTATTATTATTATTATAGAGGATGAGGACGAACGTATCTAACACAGTGTCCTTTTTGTTACTACCACTGGGGGGTGCCAACATCTGACATTATTAATTCTACACATAGTGGCTTTAAGGTTTTATCTCTTTGTTTTTATCTGTTTGACTGGACCAGTGTTATAATTTAAACATGATTTGTGCAATACTCTCAGATGTACATTACCGATATCAAAAGAAAAACTATAGCATAGATATTGTACATGTTGACACTGTTAATCAGACTCAAGTGCTGGAAGTTCACGGCGGTTTAAGTGCCAATATGGTGAGCTGTTTTGTCAATCATAATTATGAAGGAATACATTAATAAAAAGGTCAATTGATGAAGTCAAAATACAGAAGGCAGACTCTTAATCTTTTCTCATTGTGAATGTTTTGTAAATGCAGCTCATGTTAACTGCTGTGCTGTTAACGCTAACATCAAAGACTAGAGGAAGGAGATAAAGTTGCTTTCATCATTGATGCTTACTAAGAATTTGATGATGAGTGTTATCCAGTAGTTTTGATATTCAACAGAAGGTCTTTACAGGGTTGTAAGAACACGTCATCACTCAATTTTCATACACCAGAATCTTTTTATGTTTCTCTGTTGCTCACTCTTTCTGTCAAACGCACACACTCATACAGACAAGTAAAGTCAAGCTTATGTGGCCTGAAATCAGAGGTTTGTGCCAGAGGGCTACACAGTATTTGAAGTATACACCAATCAGCCACAACATTAAAACCACTGACAGTTGAAGAAGATGGATCATATTGTTACTATGCAGCATCCTGCTGGGAAACCACCTAAACATGGCTGCAGACCAAGCACCCCCCCCCCCCCCCCCCCCCCCCNGGCAAAGGCACTCCCAGACGGCCACCCCAGCAGGACCATGCGCCACACTGCAAAAACTGCTCTGAAATGGGCTGACAAACATGACAGAGAGCTCAAAGCATTGATCTGGCTTGTAAATTCCCCAGATCCTTATCTGTTCACCCATCTGTCGTGCAAGTACACCAGAGGTCCTGTGTCCATGCCTCAAAGGTCAGAGCCAAGTCCGGTCAACTGTGGGGTCTCCTTGGGTGTCCTGTGATGCCTGGCACTAGGGTGTTGGCAGCAGATCCTTTGAGTCCTGTGGGTTCAGATGTGTGGCTCTGGCACCTCCCACAGATGATCGATTAGATTGGGATCTGGGGAATTCAGAGGCCACATCGACACCTTGAACTCTTTGTCACATTTGTCGGTGCCAATGCTGAGCAGATTTTGTGGTGTGGCAGAGCACATTGTCCCGCTGCTTGGGTGGCCATCCGGGATTGCAGTGTCATGAGGGGGTTTACTTAGATTGCATTGTAAGATGATCAACATCATTCACTTTATCTGTTGCTTTTAATGTTGTGGCTGATTGAGGTGCGACGGACTGTATGATAAAAACACATAGGTCAGTGTCCATTATTAAATACTTTTACATATGATTTCATTTTCACTTCATTTTTGTTTGTTTTCATCAAAATTGTATCCAGGGAAAATATCACTTGAACAGACCTTTTTTCCACAGCAGTCATTTTGACTTTGCTGCACTGTTACTTACTGAAACAGAGCCATTGAAAGTTATTGGTTCCACTTAGGCTTTTCCTGCTTTGTCGAGTCAAAATGTTCTGGCTGAGGACCCCCAAACCCTCTGTTTCATATGTCCTACCCAATGTTGAAAAGCAACCCAGACCGTTTAGAGCAATAACGACACAAAAGTGATGCTAGTGTTTATGTAGTTGTTACAGTATATAAATGAGGTGTGTTTGTGCTTATTCTAAATGAAACCCCCTGGTTATGCTACTTTTAAATCGAAACACAGACTTTATGGCAGTGTCTGAACTATCCACCCTATAAATAGAGAGAATGGATTGCCTGGCCAGAACTCCCCCGACATGTCTCACAGAGTTAGCATGGAGTTGGTGCAGAATGCCAAACAGCAACAGAGAGAGGGAGGTGTGACTGTGCTAACAGCTTGACTTTGGGAGTGGTGGTGAATATCTGCTTCAGGCCAACAATGCAATGGCTATATATTACTTCAAATCAAATAAATACATGACAAGCAAACGCATGTTACTTCCAATTAATTGCTCTGTGAAGAAGGTGTTAGGTGTGTGTTGTGTCAAGACTGTCAGCAAGAATTTCTCATATTTACGAGCACCCTCCACATTCCAGCTGCCTCACAGAGGTGAAAACCTGAAGTCAGGTGACTTAACATCCCAATGTCAACTGCAGCCAGAAGGCTGCAGGCGCTGTGATCACAACAAGAGAGAGAAACATAAAGGATTTTTTAAAATACATCCATTCCTTTAGGCATCCATTCTGTAAAAGGAAGAGAAACTTGCAAACACTATATAAAATTTGATCCAGGCTTGTTTGGTTCCTCGTTCACAATCACACTCTCCATGTTCGTGATGTTCATATGATTAGTCTTAAAATATGGGTGGCGGCTTTCACACTGGTCAGTGCTGCACTCTGCTGGTTACTGTGCAGTAGTGAAACAACATTATGAGGCACAACGGGACTGTGGAGAGTTCAAAACATAAAGCAAGAAAGAAAAGACATCGAGATTCATACATATACATGCAGATATAGTTCAGGTCTGTGTACTACCAGGCATAGAAGAAACTATTGCAGACACTTCCTTACCTAATTTTATTTCTGTAATTATTTGATAAAGACATGCTTAGTCGGTCTCAGAGAGAACTTTGTCCCCATGTCATTTAACTTGTCACCTACATATTTTTCTACCACCGTATGCTTTTCCTGTGATCTCATGCATTATACAGTAACTGCATCTTTACAGAGACAAAAATAAAACACAAACAAACAAATCTTAAACACTTTCGACGGTTTTTATATGGATTTAAATGTGAGTATTATTGTTTCTTCTTTTCTCAAGCTCTGCCGTAACACTAGAGGGCGATCCTCCCTCTCCCATTCCTTGTGTGTGGAGGAGGTATTGAAAATTTCCACATAGGCAATACCAAGCATTTGGCTGATAAAGTGCCAAAGCCTGTAAAGGGTAGAGATCAGTTTCTTTTACAATTTCAGGCTATGATAAGTGGTGTAATTTTGGCAATTTTAAAAGAAAATTTGACTTGTTAGCATTTCAATTTGTTTATAATAATAAATATAATTGTTTGAAATGTGTAAAATGCATTAGGATATCTCAAAGTCATATCCAGAATGAAATAATACCCATATGAATAATCATTTTAAATGTATTTATTGAAATCATATAAAAAATTACAAAAAAAGTAAAGGTGCCCTTTTAATCAAGTTTACAACCTGCAAATAAAAAAAGTTGCTCATGAAACATTCAAATGCTGGCCTTTGTGTTGTTTCAACCCTGCACATGTCCAACAGCTCTTTAGCTTGTAGTGAAGATATCACAGTTTCCACATACACCAAATATGTCCCATCAAACTGTAAAACAGACATGTATAAAATGGTGCCACTACATGTGTACATTATGGTTTCAATATCTCATTTTTTTCCTTCCATGTAAACATTGCATGCATTGTCTAAAATGTTGGAGAAGTATATCCCAAATGACCACATATGATTACGACATGCAACACACTTTTTTTTTTTTTTAAAGACAGACATCAGAGTACCCGTATATTTCTTGGAAAAATAAGTGATAGAAAACCCCATTCAAGTACTTGAAATCACAGCTTGGCTGAGCTCCGAAAATGGCATTCCCTGACTGAGTACACAGTTTGGACATAAATGGAATGAATGCTAAAGTGTGAACATGGTGGGTTTAACAGTTTCACTGTTATAACTTATCATTGCACAAATTAAAATTATTTAAAGCTTTTCTGGCAGGCAAGAAAAAAGAGATGCATCAGCAAAATTAATTAAATCATATTTATATTAAATTAATTTAGTGAGACATGCAGGAGCCCCGAACATGAACCCAAACAAATGGAAATAAATACACAAAATTGGGACTGAGACCACTGATCACTCAGAAAACTCTTCTGAAACAATCAAGAGGGTTTTTTTTTCATAATAAGAAGCACAAGGAGTGATGTAGTGGAGAATAAACCATTAGTATATTGTGAAATTAGGTGTTTTCTGATGAATAAAAATGACATTAATTGGAATGAAAGTGACTTTTTAAAATTGTTTTTGCTATAATAATTGTGATGACAATTAATTCACATTATTTACAAACCAAAGCACGTAGTACAAGTTAGTGGGAAGTGAAACTATTTCTCTCACTAGCAGCTGCATTCCATTGCATCAGCTCCCATCAGCTATCTTAACACACATGATTGCATTAACGTGTAACGTGCACTTGCATGACTGGATCATGGGGTTATCACCAGATTGTCGAAAACAGGAACTCTTGAGGAAAATTCTAATGAAGAGGTTTAGTGTGTGATCAGATGCCTGTCTGCGTGAAAACAAACCACCAAACAGACAGATTACAGACTGATACAGTGGCTCCACAAAGTGATCTGGTGAAATATTGTTGTTCAGGCGGGTGTGCTTTGTTAAAGAGAGGCTGGCTTGGCAAGACTCCGTCTCAAACGTCTGGCACTTTGTCCTGAGAGAAACCACACAAACACAAAATTACAGTCAAAAATTGACCAGTCACTCAGAACGAAACTAGACATGCGTCCTTAAACAGAACTATAACATAAGGGTGCACATGTGCAGATGTGGCTTTGGTCTAAATCTGTTCCTTAATGTGTTAATAAAAATTACATTGCGCAGAATACTCAACACACTTAAGTTTTGTACTGCAATACTAATTGCTGGATTTACTGTGTATTCAAGTAGGTCAATTTCATCTTTTAAAATGACTAAAAATACACATTAAGAAAAAAAAACCTCGTTGATGGGGGCCAGTGGTGTAAAAGTAGAAATACAGCAGTCTTAAAATACTCAATAACATGGAAAAGTCCTGACTTAAAATATTGTTTAAGTAACAGTATACAAATATTATCAGCTAAATGTACTTGAAATATCAAAAATAAAAGGACTCATTATGCATTATGGCTCCTATTTACAGTGTTATACCACTATTAATATTATGTGTGTACGAGCATGCTGATGTTGTGGATCCACTTCTAGATACTTTATATACTACTGGGTAGATTAGTAGTACAATACAGCATCATCATAACTATATAAAAAGTACCTATAAATGTCAAATAAATGTAGTTAAGTAAAAAGTATATTTCCCTCTGAGAAGTATGTCAAAACAGTACTTTTGTTACACTGCACCACTTATGGGGGCATGCTGTTTCATGCACTGGTGTTACAAAAATGTACAATCCAGGAATTCCAGTTTGAACACGAGTAAGTCTTGTCAGA